ACACACACACACACACACGCACGCACGCACGCACGCACGCACGCACACAGGGAGGAGGATGGGGACGGTTGCAGCCAGTGTTGTGTATATATGCATGTCGAGCAGCTGAGCGGAGGGACAAGGGGGAGGGGGGACAACGTGGGGGCCGAGGAAAAGGAGGAGACATGCCGAGGGACCGGGCGGGTGCCCAGGTCCGTGGCCGAATGTGGGCCCTCATTCGGGGGCCCGGGAGTGGCGGGGGGGCCACTTGCGGCCGGGCCCCCCGGCAGAGGGCCCCCCCCCGGGCCCGAGGCCGGCCGCGAAGCCGAGCGACTCGCTGACCACGCCCGGCAGGGTGGGAGCCGCACCGAGGCCGGCCCCGCCGATCCCGGGCGCCGGGCCGGCCGGCGCATTGAGGGCCCGGCCATCGCGCGCGCGTGGCCCGGTCACGGCCAGCAGCTCCTCGGCCACCGGGACGATGGTGCCCTGGCGCTGCTTGCCGAGGCCGGCCCCCTCGCGCCAGCCCATGCGCTCGAGCATTCGCCGGCCGCGATTGGCCGGGTCCAGCTCGATGTCTCCCACGGCGGCCGGGTGGCCGTGGCCGGCGAGCCCGGCTGCCGGGAGCCCCGCCGCACCGGGCCCCCCGGCCGAGGGGCCCGAGCCACGCCGGTGCCCTGGCCGGCGCCGGCCGGACACCGGGTGACGAGGGGCGCCGGCCGGGTGAGCGGCCGGCCGCCGCGGCACCCCGGCCGCCGCCATGGTCAACAGTGCCAGCAGGTACTCGGCAAAGTGCCCGGGGTCCGGCTGGTCCGGCTGGAGGCCGGCCCCGCGGCCGGAGGCCAATCGCGCATGCAGCAGGGCCAGCCCGCGCCGGGTGGATGGCCGCGCCGGGAAGTCGCCCGGCAGCCCGGGGCGCGCGGGCTTCGACAGCGGCACGCCATCCAGCTGGGGATCGTCGGCGGCCCGGCCGTCCGGGTACAGGCGCCGGAGCCCGGCCAGCACGGGCCCCGGCCGGCGGGGATCCGGCACGTCGACGGCCCGGACCCCGGGCGGGGCCAGCGCATGCTGGCTCAGGACCCGCCATTCGGCCGTGAATGCCTCCCACCGCTGGAGGCGGCTGGGGCCCGGGGGCTCGGCCGGCGGGGTGCCCAGGTCGCCGGCTTCCCCCGGGGCCTGCGGCTCCTCGATGTCCAGTTCGTCCGGGTTGGCGGGCCCATGCGGCCCGGAGGGGGAGCCCGCCCGGGGGGCTCGGGCCCCGAGGCCAAGCGGCTCGTCCAGGCCGCTGTCCTCGCTGGCGCTGCTGGCGGCACTGTCATCCTCGTAGCTGGAGCCGGTGTCGCTGCCGGCCGACAGGTCGCTCCCCCAGGCCGTGGCACTGCTGGGATCGGAGCCGCCGGCGCTGGGCCCGCCGCCGGGGGCCTTGTTCAGGGCAAAGCGCCCGGGCCAGGCGCCGGCCCCGCCACGCGCCGTCCCCACGACCGCGGTCCACAGCTGGCAGATGGCCCGGGCCTCGTCGGTCAGCAGGCTCGGGTGGAGGCCGGCCCCCGGGCCGCGCGGCGTCGCGCTACACACTTGGCAGGGGGCCGGGCTTTTGGCCGCGGGCCGGGCGCGCTTCCGCCGCCGGGGCCGATGCGCGTCCAGGATGGACAGGGTCAGCAGGTAGGAGGTGGGGGTCGAGGGCTGATAGGGGGCCGAGAGGGCCGTCGGCCGGGCCGGGGCCGGGGCCGGTGCCGCGGCGGGGGGGCCGGCGGGGGGGGCGGCGGCAATGGCGGTGGTGGTGGTGGTGGTGGTGGCCGAGGCGACAGTGGCCACAGCCGGCGACGGGGCGGCCAGGCTGCACCCCGGTGTGGCGGATGACGCGGCAGGGGACGCGGCAGGGGGCAGCGCCACGCGCGGGGCCGGCTGTGGAGCCGGCCCGGGCCGCCGAAGGAAGGCCGGGGTCAGGCGCGCCGCCGGATTCCCCCCGCCGCGGGCAGCCCGCTGCCCGAGCAGGGTCGGCACCGGGCCGCGGGAGGCTGGCTTCTTGGCGGCTGGCGCCGGTGCCGAGGCCGACGACTCCGGCGGCGGGAGATCGTCGTACAGGGACATGTCCTGGGGCGGGAGGGAGCTCGCGGATGCGGGGGCGGAGGAGAGGGGTGTGTGGATGCGATGCGGGGAGGGGAAAACAGGGGGGGGGGGGGGGGGGGGGGGGCCGGTGGGGAGGGGGTACGATGGTCGGAGACGCCCCCGGGCGCAGATCGCCAAGCGGGGCGCTCAAATGGGGGGCCCGGCCGCGCCCCGAGCCCGCCGAGGGCCGACGCCGGGGGGGGGGGGCGGGGGGGGAGCGGCCCCACCGGGCCATTCGCCGGGAGTTGGCCGATCGGCTCGGTGTCACGTTCGCAGGTTCTGATGTCCAGCACGGCGCGCGCGACTCACGTGCCGGCATAATGCCACTTAGCCCACAGCACCCCGGGGGCTTTTTCCGGCGGGCGCCAGCAGCCGTGCTGTCGGACCGGCGACCGTGGCCGCGTCCGGCACCCCTCACGGTGCCTCTCCAGGCGCTGCGGGTCGCGTCAGCACGCATGTTGAATGTATGTGTGCATGGGTATTTGCGTGTGTGCATGGGTATGTGTGTCAATGGAGGGGAGGAGGGGAAGTCTTCCGCCCTCGCGCGAAGGGGCCAGGCGCAAGGGCGAGTGTGTCAGAGGGCCGGGCAGCGCGCCGGCGGGCTGCTCTCCGGGGTCGGGGGGGGGGGGGTTGCGCGGGCGCCCTGCACGACGCCGGCGGTGGCTGTTCGCGGGCCGCAGCGGGGGAGGCCGGTGGCGCGTCCGGCCGGGGGGTGGGCGCCTCGCCCCCTCGGGCGCATCGCCGGGGCCGGCGCAACCGACGCGCCGCGCCCATCCTCCCCCTGCGAGGGATGTGTCGCAGGGGTGGTATGGGGTTCCCTCGGTTGCGGAGCCTGAGTGTCGTCAGTTCTCTCTCCCTCTCTCTCTTTCTCTCTCTCTCACTCTCGGTGTGTGTGCGTGACCTCGGATCCCACTGTCTCGGCGCCTCCGTCACGCGCTCGCCCCGGGCCTTTTGCTCGTCGGTGCTACCCCTCCCGGTGGGTCCGCGGCTCTCCCTTGCGCCCCCGGGGGCCCGATTGTTTATGGGCCTGATCGCGCACATGCCCTGCCCGGACACCGGCACAGGCTACCGGACCGGGCGAGGGCCCTGCGCTTGTCGACTGTTTGCCGGCGGCCGCGATGACTGCCGGGCGCGCGTCCTCCCGCCAGCGAGGGGCGATCTGTTAACCGGGCGCGGCGGTCCCACCGCCGCCCATCGCCCCCGGCACATGCGCGCATTCGCGTCCGTGTGCCAGAGGCCAGTCCGGCCGGGCCAGCGCGCTTGTGTTTGCCACCGGTCCCAGCCCTGAGGCACCCGGCTGCCGGACGGGCCATATGGCGAGCCGAGGCACGCCGGTGGCGATGGCGACGCCGCTGGGACCTGCCCAGGGTAAGTTCCACCGGGAGGGGCGCCAGGAGGGGCCGAGGGGGCGCGGGTTTTTTTTCTCGATGCCGCGGGGCGCGGGAGCCTTTTCGAGCGGTGTAGCACGCTCGCGGGTGTGTGCGCGCGCGCGCGCGCCCTGCACCCCCGGGATCCGGCGCGTTCTGGTGCCCAACCACCCAGGGGAGCCGGACAAAACGCGCCTCCCCAGGGCGGGGCCGGCTCTCGGCGGCGCTGCCCCAGACACTGGCGGCCTCGCGCCGGACGTGCAGAGCCCCGGGAATGTGTGCCCCCCCCCCCCCCCGCCCCCCTTCCCCGCCGCCCCTCGCCGACCGGCCAGTCGGCCGGGCCCCTCGCCAGGGAGGGGCCCGGGGTGGCACCGGGCCCGGTGGCCGCCACCGTCGGCGCCCGTCGGGGGGCCGCCATCCGATTGGGGCGCAGGGGCTGGCCTTGGCGCATCCTCGCCGTCGGGGTGGGGTCGCCGCCGCTCCTCGGCACGAACGCAGCCCCGAGCGCCCCGCCGCCTGCCCCCCTCCCCCGCTCCCGCCCCCCGGGGGTGTGCGGGAGGGAACCCGGCGGGGATGGAGCAAGCTCCAGGCGGCAGGGCCCAAAATGCCAGGCAGGCAGACGGGCGCCGAGGGCGGGTGGCAAGAGCACCACTTGCCGGGAGAGGGGGGGCGGGGGGGCGGACGGGCCCGGCTGTCTGGGACCAAATGCATCCGCAAGGGCCCGGAGGCCGGGGCCCAGGCACCGAGGGTGAGGGGGGGCGGGCAACGGAGGCGAGGGAATGGCCGAGGAGGGGCCGCTTTCGACCATCTGGGCGCGGGGTGTCAGGGGGCCGGCAGCCGGCCCGATATGCCGGCGCCCGGTGCCCGGCGCCCGGGGGACGGGGGGGGGGGCGGGAGGTCCAGCCGGGGAAACCTGGCAACCAGCGCCATGACGATTGAGACCCCCATGGAGACACGGGCCGGGAGGGGGAGGCGCGGGTGGCGGCCGCGGCCGGCCAGGGCCCTCCGGCGCATGACGGGCGGCCGGCCGTGGCGGGCGGCCGCATGCCGCGGTCAGGCATGCCCGGCAGGCACGGCCGGCGCCGCGACGTGGCCGCGGGCCATCGGTCCGGGCCGGGGAGTTTAATTTGCGCCTGTGCGCGCGCGCGGGCGCGCGTGCGTGTGTCTGCCGGTGTGGGTCGGTGCCGGCATGCGAGCGGGCGCGCCCTCGACGCCCGGGTGTGAGGCGGCGCTCGCGCGCCAGCTTGGCCGCGCCGTGGGGCTGCCCCGCGCGCCGGGCCGATTGTGCCCCGCGCTCCGGCGGCCCTGGTGACCCCGAGGTACGCGGCGAAGCGAGGCCCCGGTTGGGAGGCAGGGGGGGGGGGGGGCCTGGACGCCGGCCTCCCCCCGGCGCCGGGGATATCACCCCGGCCTCCCGCACCCTTCGGCCGGCGCGTTCGCGATCCGTGGTTCGCCCGGTCCCGGCCTGGCCGCGGGTAGCCCCC